GATTGGGCATACACTGAGAAGACAGATTGAGGACATCACGTGCCAGGTCAGGTCAGGTCAGGTCAGGTCAGGATGTCGAGTGGAATGCATAGGGGAAACGACGAGTTGGTTGTGTGAGTCGAGAGTGACATGGAGGAGATAGTGTGTGAGGAATAAATGAAAGCTTGTGGTCAGTGGTGGCACCAGGTTGTAAAGACTGCAGAGAAGAGAGTGGAATGGAGGCGTGCAACTGAAGCCCTATATTCCACTAGGAACCGAAGAGAAAAATAATAATAATAAACCAATTTGTTATCAAACAAACTTAATGGGCTTCCTTTAAGAAGAAACTTGATAAAAAGAACTATTAAGTAGGTATAAATTTTCAGAGTAAGAAAACTAGGCGTTAGGTCTACCACTCTTGATTGTTTCTTCCGACTGTTTTTAGGTTTGCAGGGAATATACTGTCTCGTATTCAGCAAGCTTGTGGTAAGGCTAATGGTCCACGCCCAACCCAATATGGTCTTGCACACGTACATTAATTCATGCAAGCAAGTAATTAGATCTACTTCATCAGTTATATAGACCACCTTTTTCGTTCAACCATCTGGATTACTACAGCCGTCAAGGGGATGTAACTTCTAGTATAACTTCGTACCCTTTCTTCTTCTTATCCATACGTAATTTATTATTGGTTAATTATGATTAATAACTTGAGAAAACACTCCAATTACTTCACTTGATATTATGCAGTTTGCGAAAAGATGATCTGATCCACATTATAATTATCATTATTTTTGAGCCTGTATAATTACTCTGTTGATTTATCATCTTGATGTCCTAGTTAGAATCTTTATTTGTTGTTTATCAACGTCTTACCATTTGATCCATATTTTGGCCATTAATCTTAAGTCTATGCATTAGTGTAAAGCTAAAGATGAAAACTTCATTGAGAAGGAAAATATTTCTTCGTTCAATCAGTCTTTTTTTCTAAATGTGTAAATCAAATTTTCCAATGTCTTAAAAGTAAAACTTCTAGAAATTATTCTTACAGGAACTTGATCAACGAAGAGGGTAATCACTAAGTCCTCGTAAATTGCAGAACACCCATGAGCACAAGACCAAGAAGGAATACAATAACGTAGCCAAGTAAGAATAGTATATTCGATATCATGTTATTTTTTCTTTCCCTTCGGTTCCTAGTGGAATATAGGGCTTCAGTTGCACGCCTCCATTCCACTCTCTTCTCTGCAGTCTTTACAACCTGGCGCCACCACTGACCACAAGCTTTCATTTATTCCTCACACACTATCTCCTCCATGTCACTCTCGGCTCACACAACCAACTCGTCGTTTCCCCTATGCATTCCACTCGACATCCTGACCTGACCTGACCTGACCTGACCTGGCACGTGATGTCCTCAATCTGTCTTCTCAGTGTATGCCCAATCCAGTTCATCTACACTTTCTTCCTCTGCATATTCGTTGGGTGATAGGTTTCTGGTTGGTTCGTTGTCAGGTCAGACAGAGTGAGTTCCTTCTTGTTTATTCTCATTATTCTGGCCATCTGATCTGATCTTGAGTATCGAGTGAGTGAGTGAGTGAGTGAGTGAGCGTAGGTGACAGCTGTTGATGTGATGTATTTCTGTGGTTTGTTGGGAATGCTTTTCGTGACACGCCAAGTTTCTGAAGCATATAGCAGTAGTGACTTGACTGAATTGGTGTTGAAAATCGAGATCTTGTTCTTTGTGCTGAGTGCAACAAATTGGTTTCTGGGTGCATTTTTTTTTACTTCAGAAGAAACAATGATTGTTACTAAGAGAAGTAAGGTAAAAGAAAAGTAGAATCAGTTGAGAAGGATTTTAGTGCCTATTCTGTATCAACTCTATCCTTCAAATCGCTTTAAGCTGAAACCTCATACTTTGTAGTTGTTTTTGTAAATGAACAAGCTTCAAGGATGGAAAATAGTTATACACATATCAGAAGCAAGCCTTACAAACCATCCAATCTATTTAGTTTCTTTTGTGCTATTTAGTGATATGATGAGTATTGTAGATTAACTGTCGTTAGAATCACAGATATGAAGTAACACAAAGTTTCAGTGGTTCCAGCCATAGAATTGTAATCAGTTCAAAAAGAGATCACTAATATTTTTATGACCCTAACTGTAGGGATCAGATTTCCTTTTGCAGCTTAAATGAACAAGTACTGATCTTATAAGTTAGTATTATATCTTGATGTGGCTGCAACTAACCATTTTTCAATAGAATCTTTACTTTGTGTTTACCGAATACTTTAATCAACTATATACCTGTGGCATCCATGAATGTTCATTTATATACAGTTATATACGAGTTACGGATAGACTGGAAGTCGAAGGAGTGCAGAGATACTTTACAATGAGAATACTCAACACAAATAAGGACGTAAAATATGCCATAAGGTGCAACATCCTAGGACTTGAAAGACTATGGAAATGAAGGCTCAGATTGAATCTATTGCTGTTTTATAAGCTCCTTAACAGGCTAACTTATAGTAGATGTACAGTACATGTGGTTCATAAACAAAACTACATATGGATTAAGAAAAGTAACTACAACAGTAGCAATTGAGCGTTTCCCAACAGTCACTAGGGAGATAAAATATGTGTGTATGTGATAAAATATGCTCAGATATGGAACAGTTTACCTAGGGAAGCACGAGAATCAAACACTCGAACTGGGTTCATAAGACTGCTCAACTTTACACTATGGGACAATACCATAAAAAGCTCCACTAATACTGCTACTAGAACTACAGACATATAAGGAACTCCCAATATATAAACAATTTCCAACCTTGAAGGTGCAGAGGCTACACCTGCTCTTGTTGTTTTTATCTACCAAAATTTCAGATAGTTGCAACATGAAGATATCACTAGATTATGAAGAAACTTCACTGTGGTGAAAACTTACCGAATCATCTGGAAATCTGAACGCTAAACGAACAAAGGATTTAAATCGAAACCCTCGAAGACCAACATCATTAAGGTAACCTTCAATGATGACAACAGGACACAAATGAGGTGTATACGTTATTAATTCTCAACGTTTCACTTTTTTCGAAGCAATGAAACTATGCTCTCACGAAAATTACTGTCCAACAAGTAAGAATTACCAGTCCCATTCACTCATTTGACCCTCTCACTATATGAACATATATCAATTCTCGAATTACTCAAATTTCTGGACTGTCATAATGGTAACGAAAATCTGGACAGACAATAAAATCCAGGAGATCAACTCACCTATTAACTTTAAAGTTAACATAATCACAATAATGCTATGCAACAGACTTCTCTAGTACTTCATCTAACAGTGAATATACCTCCTCGATAACGCTGCATACCTTAACGTGAACAGTATGGGAAACGCACTGTCATTGGTCTGCAGTTTTTTCAAATGTTTATTCCTTTGCACCACAATATGTAATTCTGATGGCGTAAATGTACATTGCTGTGAATGATAATGCTTGGATTACATGATTATGGGGAAACTCATGGATTCTCAACATTGTCAGTGTGGGTTCTTTTGGTACCCAAAACTATAAGCATTAGAATTTACGGTGAAATAGACGTTTATCTAGCATAACGAGGGCATCGTGAAGACGAATCAAATATGCCGACTGCTTGTAATGGAAATTTGTAATTTAGCGCAACCTCGGTGCCATTAATGGTGAAAAAAGGGAGTATGACTGAAAACGATCCAAACTTTAACGCTCTGTACATGCTGAAAAGTGGTATTTTATTGTTCATTTCATAACTTGTGGAATTTTCTGATTTTTTTAATCTGATTTAATGACCTCCCTTACATACCATTCAGGTCCCGTAAATTCTTGTAGATTTTCCAACATATATCAATGTGATGATGCCTGTAAACTGGCTTCTCTCATGTTAAATTACTAATATGAGAATAGAATATTTACTTATTTAAAGACAGCTATATCACTAATGGCTTAATTTTTAAAAGTATTTTTTAATTCTGGTCACCTCATTCCGCTGAATTCTTTCTTCAGAATTATCCAAGACGCAAGAGCAAATATTTGAAGATGAATGGAGATACCCTTATTCATTGAAAAGAAGTGTCTTGAAACTCTCATTTCATTTTGATCGTAAGTCTTGCCTGAAATCTCTGATTATTTTACTACTTATCAAGACTGTCACTTAAAATCTTTTGTGGATTGTCTTAACGGAGTGGTCTATGAAAACAACCAATCATAGACCGCTACGTTAAGACAACCCAGTAAAACACTCACAGAGAGATATTGACAGCTCACTTCATACTGAAGTTAGTGCTGATGATGTCGTCCAGCAAGATGGTGAAAGCTTCATGATTAAATAATCCAGCTCAGAGAATACAATACAACGAAGACCATCCATCTGAGCTACAAATATTCTCCACTATTATGTGTTGACATTTCTTACAAACAAGAAGTTTTTCAACTGCTTAATGAACATTATCCAATCAAGATAAAAAAAATAGGATCCTTAATATAAACGTTTACCTTCGAGTACAAAAATGAAAAAGGTTTCTGAAACTACCAGACAAGAAAATTCTTTTATAAGTAGGATAGAACTTTTATTTTTTCAATTAATACTCTTCAGTATTTGTTCATAAAAGGATAGAAAGGGATACTGGGCGGAAAAGACAGAAATTTAAATATACATGATCAGGTTAAATGAATCTGGTTGAGTATATATATATATATATATATATATATATATATATATATATATATATATATATATATATATATATAATGAAGATTCATTAGTTTATATACATGAAAATAGAACCTTTCAACAATTGGAAGTAAATATAAAAAATAAACAAATTTCAAAAGACTTGAACATAATGAGACTAGTGGAAGAGAGAAGTGTAATCATTAAGAAAGATGAAAATGAACAAGAGGTGATTATAACAATTTGAAGAGGTACACAAAGCACTGGATTGACTTATCAAATTCACTTAGAGAAGTAAGCCGATATATGTATCTATGTATGTATGTATGTATATATATGATATAATCTCATCTTTGGATTGAAAAACAGGTAGACAGTTTAACTGTTAGATAAATGATCAGATGAAGAGATATATGCAAATAAATGTATATATGATAAATGAAATTTCAATTATGTGTTCATTCTTTGTGATTGAATTTGATCTGTTAAAATAAAATAAAATGAGAATAAGCATTCAATGGATTGATGAAACAGAAAACATGATTATGCATAAAACATATAACGCTATAATCATTTTCAGTCATATTGACTTATTATTTATTATTCCTTACCTTAATTACATTAATAAAAGTTTTCACGTTAGTAATTTAAAGTGAAATTTATATGTACTATGAGACTACGGAAGATATTCCTTGACTCCTAAACGATTATCAATGAATTAATGATAGATCATGGCTAGCAGTGGAATCCAGGATGCGCATTTCGTTCTATTTGGGACTCGTCAGCTGGATGTACCTGCTTCTCAGTGAGTGATGTTGTTCCCACTGGGATTCGATATCCTATAAAAACAATTATACTAAAACTATACCCGTCACACAAGAAGCGGCTATAGTGGCTCGGTGGTGTAGTGGATAACGCCCTGGCGTTTGAAGCGATTGCTCCCGAGTCCGAATCCCGGTGGGAACAACATCACTCACTGGGAAGCAGGTACATACAGCTGACGAGTCCCAAATAGGATGAAATGCGCACCCTGGATTCCACTGCTAGCCACAATCCATCATAAATGTGATTAGAAGGCAGGCAACATCGAGGTATCCGCACAGGATCCCATATGCCAATAGAGACCCATCAGTTCGGTCCAATCAAAGACGGTATCATATAAAAACAATTATACTACATTGTTAATGAAGCTAAATTTGTCAGAACAATGTTTATTGTAGATTTAGCTGCAGCTACAACAGCTACAACGTCTCTGGCTGAAGCAGTGACTGAGTCAGGTTGGAATCCCAGACAGACAGACAGACAGAACCAATGCAGGACTTCACACACAAGTGCATCCATTCAAGTTTCCACACTTTACAGTAGTATACAAAGAACAGGTGGGTAAAGAAAGAGACATATCAGAGTAGATGAAGTTTTGTGAGTAAATCAGGAATTTGAAGATGAGGGTTAGTGTGAATATCCAAGCATTAGAAGACGTCAAATAGTGAATACAGGTACACCATTGTGACCGATTTTCAGCCATATTACCAAGAATTCTCACTTAATGATTTCTTTCACATCTATGACAATATAGAGGGACTTCATTGACTGGTGGCAAATTTTGTTCTGACTACCCTTCATTCAACGTCTGCAATCATTGGACATCGAGGTACGCGGTGACTGGTCATACACAGAACATGTTGAAGCCACTTCAGTTTCTGAAGGTTCATGAACTCATTGACTGACCTACCTTTCTTGCGTTGTGCCCTTTGCATGACCTCTACATTGCTCACACGGTGATTATATCAAACGCAAGCAATGCTACGAAGACACCTGTGATCAAGAATTTGTACCCGCTTCATGTCTTCTACTTTCAACACCTTCGTCTTATAGCAGTATAACGGGACAGAACGAACTGCAGAGTAGTACACTCGTTTTTTGATACATAGTTGGATGTCTCATCGGCAGCACATGTGACGCAGGTTGGCAAACAGGCCTTCAGTGTCCTAGCTGAGATTTGTTTAGCAACCAGCCCTTTCATGGTAATGCACCTCCCAAGGTAAGTGAAGTGGTCTACACATTGCACCAATTCACTCCTATTCTTATACTGGGAGTAATTGCAGACCAGTCCTGAAGGGAAACCTCATTCTTAGTCTCGTAAGACCCCGACGACTATTGATTTCATGTAGGAGCTGTAAATATCAGAACTCTATGCCAAGTCAGACAGCAAGAAACGATCTCCAAAACTCTGAAATCTCTAGCCATACCATGTCTACGAGACGCGCATACAGCACCAGAGTGTGGTTATTAAACTGACCTCACTTGGCCATAGCAGTGAATCTTTAAAATTCACCTAAAGAGTATCGGCAGATCCAATGGCTAGCTTTCATCAACTAGCTGGTGTAGGTATACCACTGAGTTGTGGAGCAGAAAGTCAGCTTCTTAACTGGATTCCAGTCAACAGCCGTTTATATTCTGTTCAACTGAGTGTATCAGTAAGAACTAAGAAGCATGGTGAAAAACAACCGATGCCCATTCGTAATCTCTGTCTACGCACTCACCGACTGCAGGTCGAATGATGCAAAGGATGAATTCTATAAAAAGCTGTCAACTTTACAACAAAAAGCAAAATGTTTAGATGTAGTCATAATAGTAGGTGGTTTTAACGCTCAAGTAGGGAGGCTGAACCAATCGGAAAGCATCTTGGGAGGTATTTACGCAATCCCATGCCAACGAACCGACAACGGTGAAAATCTGTTGCGATTTTGTTTGACACTTGCTTGTCTTTGGTTAACACTGACTTTAGATAGACATAAGGAAAGATGCTTTCTCACATGGCATCTACTGACTTCAAACCAACGATGGACACAAATATGTCATACTGCTATAACCCATTGTTGTAGAGGGTCGGTGGAAGATATCCGCTGTTTACGCAGCACCAGTTCGAACTCTTATCACGTGCTAGTACGGGCTTATGACTGTCTGAACTTTACTGGTCGCAAGAAACAGACAACAGTTGGGCCTGTTTATGGTCGATTGGAAGATAAGGACATTAGGTAAGCATTTAGACAGGAGTTAGCTAAACACTTATCTGAAAGTGACAGAAATGGTCAGCGTGTGGAAACCTGGCATGATATTAAGTCTGCTGCAGAAACAGCAGAGACAAAGAATTCAAAGCCCCAATGTTACCATGCAATGAAGGCACCTCAGAAGCGCTACGGCGAATCCTCAGTAAGGGTGCGGTTAACGTAGCATTTAAACCAACAAACTCACTTAGAAACAAGCTTTTTAGGTTAAAAGATCCTATCGATGCAATTTAGCAAAATAATCTGGCTTACCAAATCCCTTGCAATGATTGCGAGGTGAAATGCATAGGTCAAAGTAGTCAACTAGGGGCAATCAGGTTAGCCGAGCTCAAAAACTTAGCTAAATCAAGATTAGTAGATTCTAATAAAATGCGAAATTTAGAGAAAATCTCAGCTATTACTATGTCCAAAGCAACACACGATCACACAAAAGGGGGATATTATTAAAATCTAACTTAGTTGGATGGAGGGAAAGATCGATAACTGAATCTTTGCTTATCCAATCAACACCAAATACATGTAACAGGAATGATTTTGCATCTGTCTCAGATATATGAAGAATTTCATTACCCTTGTCACAAAGAAGGAGCGAAAATTAAAACTACATACATTCTGTCTCAAGGTTGTGAAATTACTATATATGAATACAGAAAATAAGTTGTGGCCAAAACTTCATCCATGATACTGTTTGACTATGTGACATTTCTAATAAACAGACTAAAGTGAAATTACAAACTACCACAGTGCCTAAGTTTTACTCCTTTATTAATGAGGATATGTTATATTCGATTGGGTCTTGTATACTTTTGGAAGTGTGCGAGCGTTTAACACTTCTCGGCTACTCACAAAATGAAAGGCTAGTTCTTCGTGAGCTACTTGAAAAAGAAGGGATAGTGTGTGACTCCAGAGCTCAGCAGACATCTGTTTGAGGCCGGTAAAACACTACCTTTCCTCAAGTTTGAGACTTTTGATTTCACTTTGTATTTCGACTATGAATCCCTGTTCCAAGCATCGGCATGCCACAAGGTCTGGGAGTGTCCTATTTTCAAGATGAACCTTTCATAACCTTCCCTTCCAATAAGGAAGGTACTATCAGCGTGGCACTGCTGGTCATCCCAAGGGAAACACCTAACTGCTGCCACACCTCCATCCAGTCATCAGTACCACTTCGCCTTTAGACCTCCATCATCACGTAGCTATTTATACTATAATGGTAACTGCTTTTTGTGTAACCACTATCTAACAGACCTTTCTGGTATGGCAGGACCTCAAGGGACCAAGTTTTCCAGTTAGTCTTGCTCACTGGGTTATTCTGATATGCAAGTCTGACCACCACCTCAAGATAAACAACTATCGGGTGGGGTTAGAATCTCAGGCAGGACATCGCTTACGTCGAGGTTGCAGATATGCTCTTCTGATGAGTGCGAGAAAGTATGGAACCCAAATAAAGCAGGACTTCCTAGTGATTGCATCCAGACTACTAATATATATATATATATATATATATATATATATATATATATATATATATATATATATATATATCAGTTAGGTATTTATGACGATTAGTGGTCAATAATGGAATCCAGAGCTCATATTTCGCCCCACTCAGGACTAATCAGCTAGATGTACCTGCTTTCCAGTAAATGACTCAGTGAAATAGCGAATAACGCTCTGGCGTTTGAAGCGATTTTTCGTGAGTTCGAGAATGTGTGAACAACATCACTCACTGGGAAGTAGGCACATCCAACTGATGAGCCGTAAATAAGACGTAACACGTGTCCTAGATTCCACTGCTAACCACTATCAATCATCAATACCAAACTGATTGATTTGCTGTCCATCAAACTTACTTTGTGTCATTATATATTATATATTCATTAGTAATCATACTTACAGTAAATTAGACCTGATTACAAGGAATGAACAAACCTGTTCTATGATTTAGAATAAGGAGAATGTTAGTAGACTATTTAACACATGTATATTTTTACAAGAACACAAAGATCTAAAGAAGTCCACTTAGTTGATTAAACGCCAGTATATAACGAACCAAGAATATCCTTTTCATTAAGTTATCATCAAGTTCAGTAGTTATCAGGGTAGTAATGGACACATAATTCAGGTCAAATTCATTGAAGAATAGAAAGTAATTCTGCTATTTTAACCAGGCATGAAGTCTTTAGTCTTTCCACTACGATACAGGATTCTGATGTATAAACCTGTTATGGCCTAGAAACTGTTATAGCCGCGTCACCAATTTGCTCTGATAGGTGGTATGACATAACAGCTTACAAGCCTAGCAGACTACGAAAGATAAGAACCTTTCACTCAAACGAGTCAACTCTAACCAGCAGCACAAAAATACCACCTATGCAAGAAGACCAGAAGAGACGATAGACCGTTGACAGAGA